TGACGAACGTCGGCGGTATACCTTGACGGCGATACACAGTAGAATCGCAGTTAACCCCAAGGCGGCGCGATACGTAGCATATCCCGGAGCGTATCCAGTACACCCGATGGACCTCTCCGCTTGGGAGAGATACCGCCAGAGGGACCTCCAAGTCTTTGAGTGGCCCTGCCCGGGCGGTGCGAGCCGTCACGTCACGCATTTCATTATATTGCGTTGAGCGTTCCTAATTAATCCATCCGTCGAGCAAATGCGGCTCTCTGAAAATAAACAGCTACGATAAAGACGTGACTCCGATTCAGCATGTTCGACAGTTTGTTTCATTTTTAATTTTATTTTCTCAATTATATGGAATCTCGATCTTTGATGAATATCTGTAATTGTTATGTATAAGATATATTAATGCTAAAAGTTGTATGAAAATTTAAATATGTTGACTAGTGCAGTAAATTAATTTGATAATTTATTATTGATGTATAATATTTTATAGATATCTGTTGAAAATTTTTCTCAGAATTTTTCAAAATCTCTAAATAATTTTATATCTCTTTAAAAAAATTTTTAAATTTTTTTGTACAAATTAGAACATTTTTCAGAAGTGCTGAGAAAGTTCACACCTTTTCTAGAATTCTTCATTATTCTGAAATATTCTATTCTCTTTTTTTCATTATTCTCATTTTATTATTTCTAATAAAATTTGAAAAAGTTAAAGATATCTTTTCAAAATAATTATAGAATGAAAAATCTTATGATATCAGAATATTTTTCAGAATTTATATTATTTAAAAAATGTTTATAGATTCAACTTTTTTAATATTTCTAAAAAGAATGTTCAAATTTGTATCAAAATTCTGAGGAAAATTTTCACCAAGAGATATTATAGATCTATATTGTTATATTGTGTATGTTTTAATTTTATTTAAAATTATTTTTATCATTATAGACGGTCGGTTAGGATGTTTATATCAACGATAGATAAAGTTATATTAGTTGATAATGTCTATATCTTCAATTATCTCTAGACTCTCTCTCTCTCTCTCTCTCTCTCTCTCTCTCTCTCTCTCTCTCAGCTGTCTCTTTTTCTATTTAATAGTGCATTTTTATTAGATTGGATTTAAATAAAATGTTTCTCTATCAAGCTCTACTGTACTAAATGAAATTAAAAACTGCAAGAAAATTAAAAAATTTCTCCTTGAAAAGCAATATACTAAAACTTGCAATTTTGATTTCACTTTACAGAAAATTTAATGTATCCAATTTTGTTTAATAATAAAGTAAACGTCCCAGTGACCGAATATAGTATTTATGTCCGGACATTTACACAAAACTTTATTTATTTAGCTTATTATTACTCAACTCAAAAACGTTTTTTAAAATATAATATTATAATTTGTTATCTTTGACAATTAATTATATAATACTATAGTAAAAAAAGCATTTGAGATTAATAATAATAAATTTTGTTTAAATTTCTGGACATAGATACAAGTCACTGGGACATTTACCAGCCTTTTACCAGCATGACATAATAAATTTACTATGAAACTGTTAGCATGTCTTTTCGTCAGATTTTGTGTAATATATATACAGATATCATATATAAAATTCTCTTTTATTACCTTTTTCTGATAACACGTTAGAAAAAAAAGAAAACATTCAGCAAGCGACATACATTACATGACAATATTTAGTCAATAATAGAGAGTCAGTGTTATTTGAACAGTTAGCGAAGTCAGAACTGCTTTCTTAATATGTCTAAGTGTTATAATAATTTGTTTAATAAATATAAACATAATAGACAAATTTCTTCAGGATATGGCAAGTTATGAGATTTAATCGGGCTTTGCTGTTTAGAGAAAAAGTTATTAATCCGATTGTTGTAAATGAAATTTTTTAGTGCACTTGATAAGAGTCAAAAGAGAAAAAAATGTTAAAGCCAGAGTCATACTCACAGAGTGCTAAAAAAATTGTGGAGGCGCAAGTCATCGCAGCGATGCAGAAACAAGGTAATGTTCTTTTTAATTACATCAATTAGCAAAGTATAATTTTTAATTCATTATTGTATTTAGTGACAAATACTTAAAACAATTATTTGTATTCCAATACGTGAATTTTGATCAAATTTATAAAAAACTCATCCATCTCTACTGAAGCGCGTAGATTGACATACTGGCTTCTTTTTCCTTTTTTTTTATAAAGAAAATATGCACGATCAACTTCAGTAAAGACGAGGCTTAAGATGTTAATTAAACTCGTACAAATTTTCTTGAAGGATACACTTTGAACGCTGTAAATAATTACGATGAGAATCTGCTGCACATAAGCGCGGCGAACGGTTGTCTTGGTATTGTAAGAGAAATTTTGAATCAGAAGGAGAATTGCCGTGTCATAGATAGAAAGAATAAATTTGGATGGACCCCATTGATGCAAGCAATTCGTAATGGAAATATCGACACTGTGAAATTGCTCTTAGAGAGAAACTCCGACGTTAATCAAATGACTTATCTTGGTAAGCAAATAATCACGATTACAGTTAATAATTCTTAGTATCCAAACGAAAATTTTAAGATGATTAATTAAAAGATTTTGTTATAAAGCTTTAGAAAAAATTATTTTGTAAAAGTCATATTACCAAATTAAATATTAAAACAAAAAATTTCGAAATAAGAAACTGACAACGCCGTGTTGATGCTATTTTAAATAGAAATCTTTCTTTTCTTGCCATTTTAATTACTATAGGCATGTCGGTCCTTGGATTAGCCGCTGCGATCAGTAAGGAGATGTTCGAAACAGTGTATAACGCCTGCCCGGACGCGTTAGCAAACACAGCTAACGATGACATTACTCCATTATGCGTGGCTGCTATGAAGAACGACAAAGAACTGTTCTTAAGATTGTTGGAATTAGACATGCCGTCTTCGACTACTAGTTAGATGATTTTTCTATATAAAAATTCCTCAACCAATATTTATGACTTATGTAATATAAAGCTTACAGTTATCATCCATTTCTTCAATTGTGTTATGCAAAATTAATATAATATAATATAAGCATATTTATTGTGATAAAAAGAAAGATGGTTATATATAATTAATCCTTAATACACACGATTGGATTATTCGTTCCTGCACATTTCTTTTCTTTAAAATACTAGAAGCATCCAATGCTCTCTGTTCTCTAACTTTTTTTAATATTGCACTACTTTACAAATACATTTTAAAGATATTACATAAAAATCACTTAATAATTTTTATATACTTGTAAAAGTGTTAAAAATTAACTTAGATACGAATGATTCAGTATGCGTATTAAGAATTATAGTAAAAATTTAATAAAAGATACATCAATCTAAACTGAAGATAAAATAAAAATAGATGTTTTAGGATATTTTTTATCATAACTAAATATTTGATAAACGTTGCAGCTTAATTTTCTACTATATCGCAAAATTGGATCATATTAAGAAAAATATTATCTATTTTTATCGATTGTATTTTTTTATGCTTGCTATTTTTTCCTTTATCTATTTTACGTATAAAATGCAAAGAAATTATGTTTCTAAAGAAATTCATGTATTAAGCGCAGATGGGTACACTCGTATTATGATGAAGCATTCCACAGTACCGGAAATAGCCACTCTGGCGAACGAAGAACTGGCCATAGATGACTATTGGAATGATACATCAGATAACATCAAAATCATAAGCGAACAAAATATCAACAGTACGACAGAAGATCATCCTACTTCAAATGATGATGAGAATAAAGGAGAAAAACTCAAGCTGCTTTTGTTACGATTTCCTGCGGTGGAATCCGATAAGCAAACTAACAAAATATCACCAAATTTAACCTATGATGTGTTCACGTTTCCAAAAGCCGACTTTAAAAAGGACAAGCTTATAGAAAAATCAGACGTTTTCTTAGATGAAAATGCGAATGAAGGTACGGAAAATGATTTGGAAAAGAGTTCTGCGATGGATGAGGATGAGGAGCTTGAATCATCTCCAACTGGACTTCAAAGGTAAAAAGGCAATTACAAATTTAGTAGTTATTTATTGAAGGTAGAATATTTTTTCTACAAATGTTTGTTAAAATAATATTTCTTAGATATATATTTAATATATTTAAATATTTCAAGATAATATTTAATGGAACAAATTCGGTTTTTATAGATTACAGTCAGTACGACCTATCGATCTCGACATAAAGAATCTCTCGAGTAATTTTAACGTCACTCTGGGATTCACACCCGAATTCAGCCCTGTCAAATCGCCCAACGTGCCCCCTGATGTTAACGAGGAGAACGTATTTGGTGAAAATACCCCAACACCACCGCGTTGCAAAACGCCACCAAAGGGAATGCTTTTGAATTGGCCACAGACGAAAATGATCATGGTATTGAAACGCTTCGGACTGAATCAACACATCCCTATATTTCTTGAACAGGAAGTATGTTGAAAGAATATGTATTAGAATTGTTAGACAATATACAGTGATAGTGTTTCTTTTTGCAATTATAATTAATATATATGTTTATTAGCATAATTTTTAAGTATATGCGCTCTATTTTATTTTATTTTAGGTAGACTTTGACTTATTTCTAACACTTACGGATAACGATTTGATAGAGATTGGTATTGAGCATAAAAAAGATAGACGCGATTTGCTGGAGGCAATAAAGGAATGCATTAATCATAAAACATATTAATATTTGATCTTTTTTATTTATTGATTGATACAATTTGTTGCTGTTTGAATCGCGGAATGTAATAACATATTATGTTTTTTTTTGTTTATTCTTAGATATAAATAATCTACGACTTATAATGAAATTAAATTTTGTAACTTATAACTTTAATTTATTTTTTCTTTTATTTTATTCTAAAATTGATTCTCATTATTGTCAGGAACATTTTCTTATAAGTTGTACAATATTGTGTTTTAGATTTCTAAACGAATAATAATAATTGTTATTTGAGATAGCAAATAGTAGGAATATTTTCTTAAAAATTCCTTAACAACTTTTCCTTTAAATTTTGTTTTTCGGGTTTTTTCTTTTTATCCATCAGTTCCTTTAATGTAATATCATTATTAATTGCTTTGTTATTACGTAAAAACTTGTTATAAGTTTGTATGTATATTTACCACAAGAGCTTTGTTCTCAGATTTTGATTCTTCTTGCTTAAAATAATACGACTTTTCTTCATTTTTCTCGATAATTGGTTTGCTAGCCATAACACTATCTGCGTCACATAATATCGTCGCAATATTACCAGCAGTTTTAAGAAACTTATCAAACTTGCTCGTGGAACATGTTGGTTCGATTCCAAAATCGAAATTGTCGACCTCAGTTTTGCACGTAAAAGAATTATTAATTTCTAGCGATAATCGCGATCGTTTTGTGGGAATATCGCAGGAATCAAATGTCCGAGAAAGCGTCTCATTGCTAAATCTTCTTGATCGTGTACCATATCCTGTATCACGGGTTGAAAATTTATCAACTCTTGTTAACATCGGTGTACAAGCTAGAATAGCTGCTTGATATGTATTCTGTGAAAGATACGTTAGTTATGCATTAATAAGTTATATGCATTAATAAGTAAGCATAGTATAGCCAAATATATCGATTTAATCAAATTTTAGGACAATTAATATAACTTATCCTTCTTTTTTTCTATTGTAAATTAATTAATACATTGTATAAAAAACTGTTTCTCTTAATTATAGATATATTTATTCTCGTAAACGATAACAACTGAAATGTTATTTATTTAAAGAAATAAATATGAATTTCAATTATAAAAATTATTAGCTTCAAGTGAGAGATTTATTGAGAGAGAAAGTAAAAATAAAAGTGGATATTGTAAGATATGCAGTGTTCTCACTTCCGGACATACGTCCAATTGATATCCACATAATTTTGTTACTCTTCCTCTTAAGTCTCCTGCAAATTTGTAAATTCTGGATACCGGATCCATCGTAAGCGGAAGAATTTTTAGAGGTCCTGAGGTTAAGCATGTTTCAGGATATAAATAAACGCATGACTTGAAGTAGAAGAATTCGATACTGTAAAATAAGAGTTCTTCTTTGTGATCTGGCAATATATAGCCATGCTAAAACAAAGAGAACAATTAATACTTCATAATTAGATGAATGATTAGAATGAATTAAATTTAATATTATTAATTTAGAAATTAATAATATTAAAAAAATAATCCTATCAAATATTTATTTTCGAACAATCAATAACTCTTTGTGCATATCTAATTAATTTTTATTTTAGCAAGAGAATAATATATGATACAAAATTAATAAAATTTAGTTTGAGCAATATTAGTTTTAGTAAGCTATAAATGAATTCTCACCATATTTTTCCAATATGTGCGCATATCCTCGTAATTTTTGAATAGGTGCTTTCCCTTAATTTCTTTTGATATGCTCAATACAGTTGCCATTTTCAAACTATGAATAAGTATTATATTTATGAAATTACTATCATGCAATAACTTATACATTTATGCGATTAATTATAGTATAAAAACTAACGCAGAATTTTCATAATTTATTAAAACGTAATTTATATTAGTAATAACAAAACTTTTACATTATCTCTTACCTTGGTAGAACACGTACTGGTGGATGCGAATCATGTTGCGAGGGATGTATGGTATTTAATCTTAGGAATGGTATTTTGAGATTTATAGCCTCAACATGAAATTGAGCGCTGTTATCTACAACATTTATCTTTTACAGTTACCTATTTAGCCAATCTAAATTATTCTTTTATAGCTAATTTATTCTCTAAATTCTTTTGAGTAGAATGTCATTCTAAAGAGTGAAAATTGTACCAGTCTTGAAAAACAGTGAATTTTGAATCTTTAAGAGTGAGATTTCTTTCATCAAAGTAATAATTCACTCTAAAGATTTTAAAGGATAAATTTTTCTTTATGCTAAAGGAATTTCTGTGTATATATAAAAACTTATACAGCATATCTAGTGATGTTATCTGTAAAATCAGTGATTATACCGCGGATATCTTTGATATTCAACATAATCGCGTTGACATTTCCTGTTGAGCTAAGAAAATCTTGTCCCTCGACGAGGTACAATCCGACTTTGTTCCACTGAGGTGCCAGCCTGTGTTCCACCGTGTAAAGTAGACACATCTTATAAATGTAATTCGGAAAAGGATCGAGTAGATCCATCTACAACATTCGCATGTCAATATCAACGAACAATTTTGATTTTGAGAAAAGAGTAAAATTATATTCTAAAAAATATGTGGATAACACCAGGAGTATTAAATATAATTTTCTTATAATTTTTATACGACTAATTATTACAAATAATTGGAACATTAAATTTTTTATATTTTATAACATTTATATTATAACAGAAATTATACTTACAAAAACTTAGAAATTTTACGCTATTTTATAATTAACTTATATAAAAATTCTTAGAGAAGATGTAAATTTTCTGAGAATTGTTCCAATTCGTATAAAAAAATGTAAGAAAGTTATAAAATTATATAGAAATTTTGAAAAATTATATGAAAAATTCTAAGAAAAACTTTCATCAGGGCCGTTCTAAAGAACGTTTCACAGGAAGATCTTTGGGATAAAATTAAATATCTTGTATGGGTGAACAAGATAAGAATTATACAAACACTGCCACAGAATTATACAATCCACATCCACATATTTTTTTAGAGTTATGGTCTCTGCGGACACGTACTATCTGTATGTTAAGGGCGTCGCAATGGTCCCGAAAGGTGTAGCTTTCCAAAAAATCCTTTGTGACGATAACATATAGAGAATTGCCGAGCTCGAGTAATTTCCGATTAGTTATCGGAGCAGCCATCGCTTGAGGAGTTTCTCGAAGGAATTGTCTGAAAAATTGACGTTTTTTTTTTAATCGAGGCGAACTGAACTAAATCCAAGTATTTATTTCCAGAACTTTGGCCTTAATCCATAAAATGTGTCAACGGAACAATGCGCTACGACAATAGTGATAATCGATATATACCCGCATTTAAGCTTGTTCCTGCAATAATTGGAGTAGATTAAGGAATCGTTCTCAGAATTTATGATCTTGCAGATCATGCAGCAGAGACCGTCCTTTGGAGGTATAGTGACGTTGAAGATCTTCACGGTGGAGACCATAATTATAGGTTTTATCAGACGATATAGAAAATCAAATCATTCTACAATGCAATTTATATGAAATAAAAAGAAAATGTTATTTGTATTTTTATAAATTTACTGAAGACGAATTAATATAAATATAAATAATATAATAAAATAACAATGAGTGATATATATTCTGATTCATTAATTGCATTATAATAGTAACGAAAAATATATCTTTAGGTAAATAAAATGTAAAATTTATCGATACCTATAATTCTTTGCAATTAAACATTTCAAATAAATGACAGCAAATTTTAAGTAATTCAAAATTCTTAGCAATGTATGTTTTTTTTATTACGATTCTCGAAACGTTTATTTTTTTGCTTATTATCCTTCGTAGTTTGATGGAAATTAAGTAGAAACCAGCTTTGCTTTTTGCAAACGTACAATTGTTGAAATACGATTCTCTTCAAAGTGTTAAAATGCGCATAAGATTTCGAAAATTTCGAAATTTGAAAGACCGTTTGTGATTGGCTGAAGCATTTGACAAGAGTGACGCAACGACTAATTTTCACTTATGCTTTCTGCACTGCACACAGTTTTTTATATATCAATTTATTATTATTAAACCGTAATAAAGTTATGTTCTTTGTGGCTGTTCTGTGTTATGCTTTCTGCACCTAAAATAAAATAAATAATTAAATCTTGGATATAAAAGAGGAAAGACGAAGATTTAAAAAGTGCAGTTACAAAGAACGAATCTTTAATACAGTGTAAGCAACCCATTCATTGTTGCTCGTTGTCGATCGCGGGATTCTAACCTCACAATCGGAACGCTTAATCTCACATTCAATATTAATAAAGTCGATATTTATTTAAAACATGCTGAAAATATTGCGAGCTGCTGCTCGTTTGGAAAGAACTTGCGCAGCAAAATCCGAGGGACTCAGAAAATGTAGTAGTCAGGTTCGATCATGTTTCTAACCTCTCTTTATACCTGAAACAATTATTTTTGACATATGTAGATTTAGTATTTAATCAATTATATAAACATGTTTGTAAAGCACTTTAGGGATTATTATATTTAAGGATTATTATTACATTTTATGGAAAGTTTTATTCATTACGCTAATTATTTAATCAAATTAGTTATTAATTTTTACATTCATTACATGTTTTTTTTTATTTTGCAGGCAACACAGATTAAATATGCAAAGAGGATATTCTCCGGAATTCAGCCTACAGGAAGCGTACATTTAGGAAATTATTTCGGTGCCATTTGGAGATGGGTGGAGTTACAGAACTCCAGTGAAGCAGTTTTGTGCAGCATAGCGGATCTGCATTCCATTACTTTGCCGCAAGTAAAATAATGGCAGATTACATTTCTATACTCCGGCATTATTGTCTGCTGACAATACACAATTTGTAGAATCCTCAAAAATTGAGGGAAAATACCTTGCTGATGACCGCAACACTGATAGCATGTGGCATAGACTATAAAAGGAGTATTTTATTTCAACAATCCAAAGTACCAATGCATACGGAACTATGTTGGATCTTAAGCAGTATCACGACTATGGCAAGGCTAGCACATCTACCACAATTCAAGGAGAAAAGTGAATCCTTAAAAAATGTACCTCTAGGCTTGTACATCTATCCTGTTCTACAGGCAGCCGATATATTATTATATAAGCAAGTATCTTGATATTAGATGTATTAGATAATTGTTTATTGTCAGAAAGTTGATTATGTATCTTAAAACGAGATAAAAAAGATAGGGAATAAATCTAGAATTGAAAACATGAATATATAATGTAATAGACAAATGTTTACTTTAGAGTTTATTAAATTTATCTTCTGAAATATTGATATAATTAAAAATTACTCTATAATTTTTATGCAGTACAATAAAATTAGCATATATATAATTAAAATTTTTTCTTTAGAGCAACGCATGTTCCAGTCGGGCAAGATCAAGCTCAGCATATTCAGTTGGCACAAGACTTAGTACAGATTTTTAACAGGCAGTTCGGACAAACCTTTCCAATACCACGTACTCTTATTAGTGGCAAGTTTTTAAACCAGTAATTTTTGAAATTTAATCTTGTTATTTTAAATTTTAATTTTGAAAATATCTTTATTAACAATTAAAATTTTTATATTTTAAGATGGTCCGAGCCAGAGAATCAAGTCTCTACGTGATCCCACAAAAAAAATGTCAAAATCACACACAGATTCTAAGTCCAGATTAAATCTCTTGGATGAACCAGATGAACTGTTAGAAAAAGTGAAAAAAGCTGTGACTGACTTTACGTCCGAAGTAACTTATGACCCAGAAAAACGACCAGGAGTAGCTAATTTAATTAATATACACTCTTTGTTTACTGGGCAGACGACGGAGGAAATATGTGAGGAAGCTGTAGGTTTAAATACAGGACAGTAAGTACTTAACAATCATTATATCTTTTTCAGTATTTATATATATATATAAAGGATTACTTTTGAAAACTTTCATAAATAAATTGAATGAATATTATTATGGTTCCCTTTGATTTTTTATAGGTATAAATTGAAATTAGCAGATATAATGATAGAAAAATTATCTCCAATTCGTAAAGATATATTGAGATTAACTAGGGAACCCGCCTATTTAGACGAGATTTTGAAAGAAGGTACAGAAAGGGCCACAGAACTTGCGACAAACTGTTGGACGGAAGTTACACAAAAGGTTTTTAGTAATGATATACAGGATGTGAAAAATATAGTAAAAACCTATAATAGAAAAATATAGTAGAAATTATGTAAAACCATTATATTAATTGTTACTAATTATTATATTTATACTAATTAATCATTAAAAAATATATTAATTTTATAGACATTGATATATTTAATTTAATTTACTATCTCATATCAATAACTAGTTTGCCTCGTAAGTGTCCTTGCCTCAGTCTCTCATATGCCTGTGGCAAATCTTGAAAAGAGTATACCTGTTGAATGACAGGTACGATCTGCGAATCAACGAATAGAAAAAATACAATGTTATAGAATTTACAATTTTTAGTACAATAAAACTCAGGAATTTCTGAACATACCTCTTCGTTTTCTACAAGCTTTTGAAGAACGTTAATTCCTGTTTGGGAAGGTATAAAAAATCCCCACTTAACACAACTTTTATTTTCTGCCTTTGGAATATTAAATTTTAGAAGATCTTCGAGATTTTTCGCCATTCCCATAATTAATCCATGATGATCAAAATTGTTTAACAGTGGTGAATTTAATGCTATGTAATTATCATGTGGATATCCTTTCATTCTGACATATTCCGGTCCCAGTTTGGCACAGTCTAAAATTATGTCATACCTGCAAATATGACAGTTGTACACATACGCTTATTTGCTACAACACTAATAAAATAAAATTAGTTTTTCAGAAAATATTTGAATCATTGAAATTAATTTTGAAATGTAATTTTGGTATAATGGCCAATGGTAAAATAAAAGTATATTCTTATAAAATATATTCTTTCTTTTTTTCCTTATATTTTCGTTTCTTTATATTTCTTTTTCTGTAAACGATTTCAAAAATGACAATTTTTAGTTGTAGCAAATGAACGATATATTGCATTTATTACACACAATGCATTTCAGTTTAATATAAAATCACTTACGGTCCTTCTGAAATAATTTCTGCATCGGCACTATCTTTCTTATAATCAATGACAACATCAGTATCTAAATTCTGCAGCATCTCTACAGCGTCGCTACTGCATGTACTAATTACCTAAACAAATTTAATGTTTCATATTCTGCAGACTTTAATATAAACAGTTAAATATTTACATGCATATTCCAAGCTTTCAGCAGTTGTATAGCTAAAGTACCGACTCCTCCCGAGCCTCCCATGACCAGAACACGTTTGTTCATTCTCACAGCTATCGCCATTTTGTAAAATAGCCCTCCTGTGATCCATAGTGCAGACCAAGCAGTCAGTCCAGCATACAAGATACTTGCAGCTTCAATATGAGACAGTTTCTGAGGGCGTGGATTTACCTTGCAAAAAAATAAAGTATCGCGATGATTGCAAGTCATATATTGGCTTTTCAAATATTTAATATATTAAGAATGAAATATGTCTTACTAAACTACTGTCAACAATAACGTAATTTGCATGACAGCCTTGTTGCTCAATTGGAACCACTCCCCAAACTTCTTTGCCAATCTCAAGCCTGTCTCCTACATTGCATCCTTTTGATACAACTATCCCTGCGAAGTCTCTACCTAATGTCAATGGCAAATCCAATTCTCCCAATGTTCTAAAGAACAAACTCTTGGTTTTGCGTAGGACATTCAGGAAAGTATTACCATAGCCATCTATAATAAAGTTTACCTTTTTATTGTAACTCTAGACTTTAGTTGTAATTCATACTCTTAGAATTCTTGTTATTTAGCAAAGTTAAATAAGGACAATTGATGCAAGTATTATGAACGGGACCCTTAGACTTTTAGGACTATACTAACTCTCTGTAGTCCAAGTCTTTCAAGACCCAGGTAAATTTTCAATTTCAAGTTATTCTATCTCAAATTCAGACACATAACAAAAAAATAAAGTTTTGGATCATATCATTATAAAATTATATTATTGAATGTTGAAAGAGAATACCAGAGTTTTTTTAGATTTTTTAGAATCCAAACTCTTTAAAAAACACAATCGGACACCAGATTAGATTAGGAAAGAAGTGAAAAAACGTAGGATCACAAAAAACTAGTCTTTCATTAATACTAAAAGCGATTAGAGTTACAGACAATAATATTTGATTTCTAATCATATGTCATTTCACATGCATACTTTCAAGATTGAAGATACATATACAATGAAGCAGGAATAGAATACCTGTCATAGCAACATCGATGGGATTCACACTAGCAGCTTCGATCTTCACCAGGACGTCGGTGGGATTTGTGATCACCGGAATTCTGATGTTAGAGAGTCGTAGATCCTCCAGGCCATTATACGAATGTATCTGCCAGGCT